GCGCTTCATGACAAACTGACTTTAGGAAGAAGCGTGTGGGGGCAACGGAATCTTGCGGCTTTCGGGCGGGTTAACACGAGTCCTGATTGGAAGTCTGCCTCACGTATAAGTTCCTTCCCTTCTTTGTTTGACCCTTCTAGCTCGGGATTTAATTCAAGAGCTCGACAGTGATCCCCGGCAAATACTACGGAAGCTAAAAATTTCAAAGATAACACGCACGAGATATTTTTTATTAATTTATCTTGTCGCATCTACACAGAGAAAATTTTATATCAAAAATTACTATGTACGACAGTAGTCGCGGATCGTGAAGGAATTATAAAAATTTTTACTATGTTTTTCACATGTGAAACATAGTAAAAATTTTCGGTTCGCGACTTCATGGTCCGCGATTAATGCCGTACATAGTAATTTTTGATATAAAATTTTCTCCGTGTACAATATTTGTATACGTACGTGTAAAAAATAATCGTGCAAACCTTATTTATTAAATTCAATAGAAATTACTACATGAAATATCCAACAATGTGAGATAGATACAAAAAATTATATAAAACGATATGAAATGAAATGAAAGAAGCGCTTCTGTTTCTCTCTATCAAATAATGACATATAAAAAATAGCGTTTTTTAAAATAGCCTGAAGCTTCTTGCGATAAAAAGCTGTGAAATATCTCCCTCATATATAAATTTAATTCTGATAAGCTACAAATAAAGCGAAATATTATTCATATTTGAAATTATTTTGTATATCTGCAAAGTTTCATTCAAATTGATGAATTTAGACCGACAAGGCCGACAAGGCCGATCTTATAAACGATTTCGACAGACTTCAAATTTCGAACAACTTTCCGGGTCAACTTATAATTCGAGCTTCATTTGCAGTATCCGGCGGTGATTCCTAACTCTTTTTAATTAGCAATTTGCAGGCGAACGAAAATTTCTATTGACGATGAATACTCGGGAATATATGTCAGAAGAAAATCCATTCTTCTCTGGGCTCTCGTGATCCCCGAGCGCTTTCCGAAAGGTCAAGCTGCTTCGTTGTTTCGTGGACTATACTGCAATTTTGTTCGAGTTTTCTAGGTAAGTTTTCTTATAATAGACTTTCTTTTAATAAGCTTTCTTTGAAAACTAATTTGGAAGTTAACAAATTTTTCTAAATTTTGAATGAAAATAATAAATCAATAATTCTTATTTTTTACGAAAGAGAATAATACTATTGTCTTGGAAGAAAGGAAACTTGAAATATTGATATGTTGCGAAACAAATAGGAACACAGCTTATTCAAATTGTACTATTTCTGGAGACTGTGCAGTGTTAAAGATAAAATTATTAGCTGCAGAATTATATTGGCAATATTATCTTGCAAAACAATCGCTTATAAACTAGTCTAGTATGTTGATCCAGAAAAGTCTGCGATTATGGGAAATCTGTTAGAAACTTGTGCAACTTCCATGACAACGCTGTCACGTGTAAAGCAAGTTCATAAAGTGCGGATAATTCAGAACTAGTCCGATCAAAATGTAACAGTTACATTAATGCATTTAATGCTTGCAAACCATTTTCTAACATGACACATTTACGGAAATTTCTCGCGAGTATCTGCGCGCTCACGATAGTACCGTCACGCAAACTGATCAATATTTGTATGTATGTAGATGAGATAAATATTACATACTGGCGCATTGGAGTCTGGGAGTTCAGCGGAAACTTATAGGATCTCGTGAAAATACACGAGTATCAGGAGCAAGACTATAACCAGCTTAAAGAGAACCAGGAACAATAAAATTGTTGAATTGAGTGCCGAGAGTGCTTAGAAGCAGCAGCGTTTATTCACGCTCGAGCTCCCGTAGCGTTCACCGTCGTATATTATGTCTCAAAAAGAGATTAATTCTCTCACCATTCTAAACATTACGGTTGGAGTATACTACGTCATATTTTTTAAATAATCGTCATAAATATTTATTTGAAGATTATGTTTCGTATAGAATTATACTTTTCGTGGAAAATTTTATAATAATTATAATTGTATGTAAATTCAAATTTGCACAATTTATATTTAATAAGTTTGGAGCATGAAATTGTAAACATATTAAAATGATTTCTACGGTTATCTTGTTGTTATTCCGTAAATAAGGATACGAGTTTAAATTATATAGCGCACAGATGCTCAACTCACAATTTGTAATATTTGAGTGACTTACAGCCACAGGGGTACATTTGTATGCAAACTAATAAAACTTAAACTTCAACCCAGGGCTGTCAGAAGTCTCCGGAGAATTATTTTGTTCGGAAACATGATCATATTTTAAATTTATATTTTGAAGATGATATTTCCTTTGGCACTCCCTGTCTTGATTATAATATTACTTTGGTTCTTTTAAAAATACATTGCTCCGAGCATTAAATGATCATATCTTTGGACATGTTTACAAATGGAATCAAACATTAGTTGTTAAAAAGAAAAACTAAAATATTTAATCTACTGGCGAACAACATTTTACAACGACACTTTCAAGACTTCAAATAGCTATTGAAATCACATTTGAAAAATTGATCCGTTTTTTGTTTCGAGCTATCCGATAATTTTAAATTTTAAAAGACGGAAAAGTGGAGTTGGGCCACTAAAAATGATCAAAATCTTCTTTTGTTGTCTCGATACTGCGCTGACGGAAAAATGGAAAGTAGCCGATTAATTGTCCGCCAGAGAAAAAAGGAGACCGCTCGAGAGAGGAGAGGAGACAATGGGAGAAGAGCGCGGGATGCAAACGCGCTTGCGCGGCATCCTCAGGATCGCTTGTTGTGGACGCCTCAGTCTCGGCTCGCCTGGGCTGTAGGCAACACGGCCGACGCCGAAGCATCGCGCCAAGTATTCGGCCTGGGAGCCCCGGGAGACGTTCTAAAGATAGAAAAGCGCGCGCCGGCGGTGCGCTTTGCGCCGCGCGATCATAACGAAACGCGTGAAGGCACATTCCCGCGTGTCTCCGCACGACGACGCGCCGGCTCGGGCTTTTTCCGAGCGACGCGACGCGGGCAGATCGAACACGGTGATCGAGGACGCGCGGCGTTAGGACAGCGACGGAAGAAGACTTTTCCACCTCGACAGTGGATTTCGGAAGTCGCGTGAACGCGGAACGTAGGCGAGACGCGCGAATCGATCCGAGGCACGACGACACGCGAGTGGAACGAAACCGACGACGAGCAGGACCACTCGATCCGCCGCTTGATGCATGCGTGGTGATTCGTGGAAAATGTCAAGTTCGCGATGAAATTAGACGATTTGGTGTGGCAAACTTGTCTCTCGTCTCGCGATTTTACCGAGCACGCTTAATCCGGCTTCTCCTTCGGCAACCGCTTCGCAAATTGTTCCACGATCCGATCAACGATCCTCAATAGAACGGATGTCGTGCATAGGTAATTTTGACCCACAGCAGAAATTGATAGAGACGCGAGTTCAGTGATGTATCGCGACAACGTGCTGATGCATCACGTCGCTGAGACGCGCGCATCGGTGTCGAGACGCGTGACGAGAATTTCGCAGCTCGCGGGCGAAGTGGATTTCATCCCGGAAGCTGTTTATCTTCCGTAGCGGCGCGTTTGTTTGTTCTTCTTTTGATTCGAATATAGATATGTTCAAGGCTGGCGAGAGATCGACCGCTGTTTTTCACATTGGCCTCAAATACGATGCACCATTCGCGAAATTTTCGCATACGGCCCTTGTTCTAAAATGTATCACGAGTAATTTAACTTTGAACAAATACGTACACTTGGTGTCGATAACAGTCACAATATATTGAAGGACAATGATTGCGGCCTGTTTCTGTGAATTGTGTAAATTGATTTAGAAACATACGCATATAAAGTGACTATTGTATTAATATCTGGTGTTGATATGACCAGCGCGAAAAGATAATAATACGTATAATATGTATCGCACTTTTCCTACATTTCTTTTTCAATTTAACTAACCAGGGATATATATTTTTTTTTGAAGAAATACATTAATATGTTGATAATTTTTAATCTACAAACAATTTAAAACTTTCGCGAAATTATTTATGGGAATATATTTATATTACGTAGAAAGTGAAAAGAAAAACTTATTCTTCATTTAATTCCAACTGAAGTTCTCTTTTAATAAAAATTTAATTTAAAAATCAGTTAAAACGATATTAAAATATTAAAAAGTTACCTCAATAATTTTTTTCTGTGAATTCATACATTGAGAGGTCAAAAACCTATTTCAAAGTGCCGCTTTAAATTCACGCATATTCCTTAAATTGAAATGTTTAGTTTAGTATACTTAACTTTGATTGATAACAATTCAAGATAAGTAAATGGTGTGAATTCATAAAATAGAGATTTTCAAGTTTTTTATAAGGTGCGTGAAAAGAAAACGGTCTGTAATATGTTGTAAAATACAATAACAGGCAGCAAAACATTGTTACGCGTGATTAAGTCAATTTCGAACTTGCAATAATTCAATTTGTCCAACGCTATAATTCCCCCAGTTTTCATTTACTTGATGATGCATCGATTCTACAGTGCGGCGATAACACTCTTGGCTTATCGTGCCAACATGTCGATCTCTTTATTGCGTTTTTCGCAAGGCAACAGTGACATAACATTTTAATTAATAACATACATCAGTTAAAAATATTCTGAAGTTACTTGAGCACTACACAAATGAAAAAATCCATATTCTCACTTATCGCTAAATATAGACATTTGATCCTTATCTTATATTGACGATAGAGTGGACGCGGTCTTCATATTACCCCTTGAGCTACCATAGAATCCCGATAACTTAGGCTATCAAAATTAGGTCAAACTTGACGCCGGCTTGTAAAAGATATTTTTACGTAGAATATAAACATGCATATTTTTAGAAAATATAATATCTCTATTAAAGCAGAGAGTTTAAATAAAAAAAAATGCAAATATATACGTACACGATAATAAAAATAAATGGAATTAAAATAAATTAATTCTCTTTCCATCTCGCACTGAAGATGTTAAGCAAATATAATATAATTTGAGATCAAACGCTTTACACATTCAAAACTAAATGCAGTGAGATTATGGACCAAAGATATCTTCTTCGCCGGTCCGCAAAATCATAGAAACCATTTACGTTATTAATATTTTCACAGTCAACCCAAATTTCCCACGAAATCTAGATATTAAACGCGAGTATATTATGTGATATTAGACATCTTTTAGAAGGCATGCGGCTGTAATGGTCGACCGTTAAATGTCGGTATTACTGGCAGCATATTGTATCCCCGATGGACTTTCGCTTTAGCAAAGACGCGCTTACACTTTTTGCATCGGAAACTTCAAAAGCCATCTAAGTTATCCGCGTTATACCCAGTGCGCTTCTTAGGTACTTCCGCGCAACTTTGCCGGCGATGCTTATCAACGTCGAGATACCGTCCAACGTTTCCTGGAGACGGACAACTCGAACGTAAAGTTAGCGATATACAACCTCGGTGGGACAACACACAGGAGAGTCCTCCCATTCCGGTTACGCCCTTATGCCTTATAACGCTTCCATCTACTTATCGTCGCTCTCGCTTATCACATCTCTCCTATCATTTGCTTCGCGCGTTTCTTGACGTGCTTTTCAAATTCGACATCGAGCGGAGAGCAATGACGTGGATGAGTTTGGTTACCACCCGCTAGATCCCTCGAAACTCCTCCATCAATGTCGTCGGAATTCCGCCTCGCCGCTCTCGATTCTTTCGTTTCTTCCGCTCGACAGCATTTCAACGTCCAACTCCGAGAGATTTGTCGACTAAGATTTCTCCTTCGCTCCCTCTTTGCTCCGAACTGATTCGGTTTGATACCACCATTACGCTAATTGAAGCGCCACATCGTTCGACGTTGTTGTAGAACTAACGGCGAAACTTCGGAATTTTTGCGACTCTTGAACTGATGTCAGATAATAAGAAAGCGACCGTTTGCCGCGCGAGAAAGTACGATTGGAAAATGACAAGATCTGTGATATTATTTTGCGATAAAGTTCGTGTAATTATTTTTCCAATTTATATTAATGTTTTAGGAATTTATCATAATTATATCAAAATTTTGCTTCAACGTCCAATAATTAATCATTTTAAATTCCAAGTATTGAGGTCGACGATATTGATGCATCATCAAGTCGCAAATCCGCAAAGCTCGAATCGCGAATAAATTTCCCCTCAATTCCGGTTGGAAGACCATCTTCACATTTAGCACGTTCGTTCGACGAATGACAGTCCGATAGCTTCATTTGCCACTTTATGTGTCGAGTGTGTCGATCACATCCTAGATCATTTTATGCGTCTTCGATTTCCTCTCGATCTGTCGTTTGCTGTCGCGCTAATATTCGTCGCAAATGAAATCGATCAACTTTTTCGTCCGATAAATATGAAAAATACATCGCGGTAGTATGCTTACAGTTAATGTTAATGGAGAAACCCGATGAAGATGCTTAAGCAGGCGTGATATATTTGCCAATACGGACTGAGTGTGAACCAAATGCAGCCAATTATTTGTATTGGAAGCTTCGAATAATTCGATGGACAATAGACAACAAAAAAAATGACAGACACGTGAGAATCGTCGTACTGAAATTTGCGAGGGGTTAACAAGATTCTAACGAGATTCTGAAGAGGAAAAGTGAGCACGCTATCGTCAAACAATGAAAGAACATAATTTGCACATTTCATGAATACACACAAGTCTTGTTAAGGGAGAAATAGAAAAAAGAAAAAAGAAAGCGAGCTGACAGGCAGCGAAGTGCGGCTGAATGAAATGTGAGATGGAAACCTGATAAACACGCAACAAAAAGCGAAGGAAATTTAACAGTAGGAAACAGATAGGGTTGATACTAGTGGACCGAGAAAACGAAACTAGCTTGTATGTTGAAAACAAAGCCAACAAAAGAGAGGAAAGGAAGAGCCATAGATAAAGAAAATTGGATGAAATTGCTGTGGGAAGGCAATTACAGGTATCCTCGGAGAAATAAGAAGAACACGAACTGATATACAGAGCACTAGTGATAAAAGTGGAGAAAATCGATGGTGAGAGTATTTAGAAGCAGGAACGGAAACGTGCAGAAATCTCGGTGCGAAAAAGGAAAGTAAGAAAGAAAAAGGAAGATTCGGCAGAGGTTGATGCCGAGAGAGTAGAACGGATAGTGAAAATCTAGATAGATGAACTCGCGCGGCGGGAAACTTCGCGTGAAGAACAAAAAGAACAGAGAAGACACGCGAAGCTTAAGTGAAGGGTAACCGCAAGAAGAAAGAAATTTGGATGGCGGATGAGCGCCAGGCGGGAGATAGACTAATGTGCATTTTAGAGCCATCGCGCGCCCTTAATTATAACAAAGGATAAATGCACGCGCGCATGCTGAGAATATACCGGCCACATAATAAAATCCGTGCGAAGAGGGAAAACTTCCATGAAGTTTACTTTGCTTATCTTCGCGTTGTCAGCGATGGCTCGCCATCGTTCATGGGTGACCAGTTTCGAAGCAGCCGGCTTGCTCTGAAGCGCACGTGCTTCCGTCGGGATTGTGTTGCATGCTAAAGAGATACACGGAGGTGAATCCTCCTCGCGGTCGGATCGGCCACGAAGTGTTTGCGTAAACGATAAGCCTTCGATCATTCGCTCGTAGTGATCGTATCATAACGGTTTAATAAAAAAAAAGAAACCGCAACGGACACGCCGAGGACACGCAGATCGCTCGAATTCGACCACGTGCACTGTGTTCAGGAATAAATACTTGAAAAAAAAAGTAAGATTTTCGCAAAAAAAACTTAAGGAATTAAGATGACGCATTGTTGATGCGAAGCGTCTTTTTACTGCCGATCCGCGATTTGAAAAGAAACTATCGTTTTTCGTGTCATCGATCCAGCACCTTGCGATATACATATATGCATCGTAGTGTAGTGCGTTCTCTCGTTCCCGCCGATGCGCCGTGAATTTCGACAGAAGTGGCAGGAAGCGGAAGCGACACCGGAATCAAACGCGAAGTGCCGCCGCGCGATCTGCAGGTTTCGGAGCGCGAGGTGGTGATCATCCCCCGTTGTGGGTCACTCGGCTAGTGTCTTCCGCGACGCGGGGGTTCGCGCCCTGGGGGACTCGGACGCCGCAACATGGGTTGCGAATTGAGCAAACTAGCCACTAGTAAATCGCGCAATCAAGCCGGAAACGATGGCTCGTCGCCGCCGCCGCCGCCGCCGGCCGCCACGGATCCTCGACTTCCGCTCACGGCCAGGCAAAAGTTTACGGTTATAGCTAGCTGGAAGGCGGTCTCCAGAGCACTGGAGCCCACAGGCATATACATGTTCATAAGGTAAGCCGTTGTTAACATTGTAAGCTTTTACGACTCGTCGGAGTGAACTCGCTACAGAGTCGAGCGATCGCGCGACTCTGACTCCTTCGATGATTGTATGTTCGCACGCAACAAACGAAAACGTGATATACGACTAATTTTTGCTCGCTACATTAGTTTTACAAAGGAAATAGATATGTGAATTTTTTTCTTATATATCCCTCACATTGACATTTTATTCATATTGATATAAATCACGTAATAGAGAGTTAATTGTAAATTTATGATTCAGTCTTTATATTGGTAAAACGTTAAAAACGACTTTATTCCGATACAATTTCTTAGCACCAAGGGTAAGGTCTATAATTATTGGAATATTTTTATACTTTTCACTCTTGTTTCACACATTATCGATCCTATTGCGTAGTCTTTACTTTAGCTAGAAAACTTTCCACGATGGGTATGAAATGTGATAGTAATCGTATTACAGATTAAAAGTCTCTGGTCCTAGCAATTTTTTGAACCGATTAAGATAACTGTTCTGATAAATGATATCTTAATGTAACTGAATGTATTGGATGAATGTATATAAAATATTATATCAATTTAAATTACTTTTTTACTTTATGTCATAAAATTAATGACAAGTCAAAAGGCAGAAAGGCAGAAATTGTTTATACACGGAGAAAATTTTATATCAAAAATTACTATGTATAGCATGAAGCCGCGGACTGAAAATTTTTACTAATATTTCACATATGAAAAACATAGTAAACATTTTTATAATTCCTTCATAGTCCGCAGCTACTGCCATACATAGTAATTTTTTATATAAAATTTTTTTCGTGTAGAGAAAAACCATTATTATTTCTTTTTAACAAACACCTTTTGAAACATTTTCTAATTTTAAAGCTACAAGATGATTTTTAATATATCGTATATATAAAAATTTTACTTATAGATTCTTTGATTATTTTTTAACCAATTTTTTAAATAAAAATTTGATTAAATTTTACATCTTTAAAATTTCTCAATATTTTAGCAACTGAAAGAAATTTAGTGAGATATTATTTGACGATCCAAAATCAAATAAGGATATCACAATAAAGAAAGTGCTTTTCGGGCTTGCGAGATAATCTTTATACGCATTCCAAGCATTGCCATCTGAAATTCGTGTGCTACGGAAACTTACACGAATGCCGTAGGGCTATTATAACTGGAATTTCAGCGCGACAATAAGCGATGTCTCCATTATAGAACATAATATTCTCATAATTTCGGCACGAACGACTCGCACACCGAGAGTCAATTTCTCTTGCGAGAGTCTTGCCGCTGATATCGAAGGGGGTGTTGTCAAATTCTGTTTCTATACAAAGACGACAGCCGCATAATTTTCCAGAGTTTCGACCGCGTCACGCGCCATTACATGATTGGCTAAGTGTTTAGGCTCTTCAAGGCCACCATCAACGTCAGACGCAACCCTGAGAAGGTGGATGTACTCGACGATCCTTGCGCCCCCTTCACGCCCGTTTTCATCGGCGTTCTTTTGCACAGAGGAAGCCTATCGGTGGATCGTAAACCGGGCGTCGTCCGTGTCATCGCTCGTGCATCGAGCTGAGGGATAATCTTCCTTCTGGAAACTATATTTTGATCGTACAAAGCTGTGCCTATGACATGCACGTGGAAGCACAGGTCTATCGAGACCACTGTAATTCAGGTCGTTTAACCCTTAAATATGTGAACTTTTACATTCCGCTTTCCGCCAGAATTACAACAGCGGAAAAAACTGGAGCAATTTTTTCGAACGAGATAGAAACGCTTGTAATCCTTTATTCAAACTTGATATTCTCTTCGGCGAATAAATTTCTAAGTCGGTTTTCATAAATATAGCAAATAATTTGATTAAAAAGCTTTTATAACTGACTGTTTTTTAAGCGCTCCGATGGAGCGTGTTTTGTATTGATGCTTTTCGATGCTTTTCTTTAAAGAAAAACAGATTTAGCTATATTGTGAAGATCTTTGCAAAAGATGCTCAATTCATGCCCGCAAGAATTTGTCGACATAATTAGTTCGCCAAGTGCTTACTGGAGACAAGGGACCTGTCCGCTAATTTCTACAGGATTTGGGAAGAGCCTAAAGTCGACGAGTCAGCATCGTGACAAGGGTCTTCTGCAATACTGTAGAAGGATGCTTTTGTAAAAGCAGTACTTTGTTACTATGAAATACGTAGGATTACATGTAAAAGCATCCTTTTACAATCTCTTAATCGTGAATCTGACAAGCTATATCAGTCACGATTCGGCGCAATCCTATTCCGGTTGACACGCTCAATCCAGTTTGCTCCGTAAACGAAATCCCGTGTTCGCTCGCCGATTTCCGAACGGAATCGGAAATGCTACTATATTGTCATGGGATTGCCGGTAAACGTTTTTTAACCTGTAGTTTACGTTTTTCGCCGCTCGATGTTCGATAAAATCGGGCTAACATTTCCCCTCAAGCGGACAAAATTTTCGAAATACCTTTTCCAAATTTTTGGCCGACCGAATGCGATTTTTAAACTTTCAGTAGTAATCATTTCGAAAAAATGTGTTAGTAAAATTAAAAAAGTCGATTAAAAATTCATATTTCATAAAACTGTATATTTTTTATTTCTAGAATTAAGTAATTTTGATATTATGTTTTTTTTTATTTTTATATTATTTTTTAATATTGCTATTTTTAGAAATAATTGACGTATACGAATATTATAATATCATATATGTACATCAGAAAAGTCTTTAATGCGATTACTGCGCGCAATCCACTCCGCGTTTTAATGATAAAATTATTGCATTCAAAACTTTAAGAATTTTAATTTTATAGAAAAAAATGTCCAATTTAGAGTTTTAACTCAAAAACAATTTCATACTCAATATCATATATGTATAAATAGAGATTACTAAATTTTAATTGTAGAAAATAATATTTACTTATAAAAATCTAAAAATTTATTATCTTACTAAATCCCAACTCTAACAACAAAATCGCGGGAAAAAGGCGCTTGGCTTAGAGAGGATTACAATTGTATTCCTCGTTACAATGCACCGACATCGCAATAGCGTCAACGAACTAAAATTCTCAGAAGTTTCCGATAAGCGCCACTCTACAGCGAGCTATAATCGAGATTCCAGAAGGCCTTTCGTTTTTAATTGAAGTATATGGCCGGGCAGCTGGGAACGACCGGTTCGTCGTTTACCTTCAACGGGCACAATCGAGCATCGATCCAATCTTAATACGCCGTAAATGAGATTATTCTCTCGTTCGAGGACGCCGTGCGTATATTAAAGTTCTTCAAATCAAAGATCCGTCGATGACTACGTGTGGCCCCTCGTTTCCCAACTCGAATATTGGATTGACAGCGATTAAGTCGGACAATCAGCGAGCATAACTCAGGCTGTCCGCTCCTATTCTCTTTTCATCCTCTTTTTCTATCAGACAAATTGACACCTCTGACCTCACCAACTTTTTGCATTTGTATGGCCTTTGTCAGAATTACGGTGTTATAGAAAATAAAATACGCTCTAATTTAGAAAATTGCAGTATTAAAGAAACACCAATTAGAACAATTAAAATTGTCCTTTAGTTTGACACTATGTTATCAATACTATGCTTAAAGTAATTCATAAATATGTGCCGCGTTTTCCTTTTTACTGAGTTATTCCATTATTTTGGGTGATAAACAATTTTTCAATATTTTTTGCTATAAGTATACGTAAGAAAAGAGAAATGAATGATGTAAAAAAAGTAGAAATACAATTATTGACTGTAAGTCTTAAAGTGCATTATTAAAAAAGTTGTGCTATTACGGCTAAAATAGATGTAAAAAAAAGTATCGAAGATATTACTTAAAGTTCAACAATAATTATTGTTATAATTCGTAAGTTAAAATTCACATTTGAGGGATTAATTTTTTACAAAGTTTTATTAAATCGACATATTCGCGCACGCTTTTAATTACAGAATGTCAGCATCACGACATATTTTGTTCAACAACTTTTGTTATCCAATAAACACGGAAAACTCATGAGAGGGCCGTAACAGAGGTGATGTATATGACAATAGTATAATTTAGGATGGTAACAATTAATAATGGAAAAGTAAGGAAGATCGTGTATAAAAAAAAGAACGAGTTTCAAACGTTCGATTTAACTGAACGATCGACTTTAATTTGCTTAAAACAATGGAAACTTGTGTGGAAACAGATAGCCTGGTAGCCGATTTAATTGCAATAATCCACAATCAAAATAAATTGCCGTCACACTTGGTTTGACAAGCAGAAGCAAGTGTATATGCAAATACAATACAATCTTTGCTACGTCTCGCTGCATCCAACCTCGCGACTGCACTAATGAAACTCAGGACAAAAGTTATAATAAGGATAAATTTGTATGCATTCTTGACATCTCGCTATTTATCTATAAATTGTTAGTATATAATAAGTAATAATTTGTTATAACGTACAAGCCTTTTAAGAATTGATAATAGAAAAAACTTTCCAAACAATTGATATTACTTAATAATAGTTTTCAATTTTCCATGTAATCAAAATAACTAAAGTTTTCGAGAGTGAAACAGAATATAGGATAACTAACACTTTTAAAATGATTTCAATATATCAAATAATTTAATTTGTTACGAATCTGATGAGAGAATTTTATTGTTATTTTATACCAAAGAGTCATAAATATAGATAAATTTACAAGTGCAACTTGAATGCAAAAATTTAGAAATACTGCAACAATTTTTTATATCTATTCTTTATAAAGGCGTGATGTACAAAATATACTTCTCATGCACATCATTCTATTGCAACAGAAAATTACGCGTTTTCAGTAAATTAGTCGTAAAAAGCTTCTGCATAAAAATTCTTTACATATTAAGTATTATATTATATATGTATGCGCTGACACTGAATTATTCAACGTAACTACACATGCATATTTTTAAACATTAACCACAAACACGTACACGCTAAGCACTGC